AGAGAGAGAGAGAGAGAGAGAGAGAGAGAGAGAGAGAGAGAGAGAGAGAAGAGAGGGAGAGGGAAAGACAGAAAGAGAGAAAGAGAGACATATGAGAGAGAGAGAGAGAGAGAGAGAGAGAGAGAGAGAGAGAGAGAGAGAGAGAGAGAGAAGAGAGGGAGAGGGAAAGACAGACAGACAGACAGACAGAGTGAGAGAGATAGAGAGAGACAGACAGACACAGACAAAGAGACAGAGACTGAGTTGGACGGAGCAAATGGAACTTGTTGTAGGGCGCACGAGCTTCAGCCACAACGTGGTGCTAACATTCACGGTAGACAGTTAGAAAGATGTGGCTGTGCACGCGAATGGTCCAGGCTGTTGTTGCATTCAACCTACTTGTTGTCGTGGAGATGTTCGAAAAGCTGTAAGTGGGCTCGACGGGGACAACGCGAACAGATAAAAACCAGAAAGACATACAGGAAGGGCACCGCTAAGCAAACCGCTAAGAACCGAAAATGGGGGCAAATCGATGATGGAAAGTCACATATATTCGGAATTTAGTCGCGACACAGAGAGAAAGAGGCCGTCATCTACTGAGCACAAACGAGTATATTGTCAAACACACGCGCTCGGAGGGCTCGGGAGCAACGCAATGTGCAGCTGAGCAGCGAAGGTTATGCGCTTGGATCGCATCTATCTCTGGGAGCTTCGAAGCTGTGTATGCCAAACCAATTTCTCTTTTGTCGTGTGGAAGACATGTGACAGCAGCACACAAGGAGCAAAGTAACTCGAAGTAAAACCTCTTGTTCCAAAGGCTCAGTTACCGTTACGCTGGCGTGGTCGAAGGTGCGCAGGTCGAAGCGGACCATCTTGCCCGAGAACTCTCCATCTGCCTCCTTGTTCTTGAACGGCACCAAGAAACCCCAGTGCCCCGCGGCGAAGCCCCCTGTGAATCCCCGAAGATCAGGGTCGACCTCGGTCAGGTCCAACACCTTCACGGCGTGAACAAAATACCACAATAGGATAACATTTTAGTGGGAATGGGAATGTGGGTCGAGTTCTAGGGATAAGTAGGGTCGGGATATAGATCAACTTCTGGTCTAGTTTCTGTCACTTGAGAGAGCTTGCGAAACACAAGTGTGCTTGCCTAAACCATCATCGGCGACTTGTCCGAGCACTCTTCTACTCGCGGTGTTTGGATCTATTCCAGGAGAGGGGGGCGGGGATACCAGTCATTTGAAGCGGAGCAGCAGAGGAGGAGTCGCCAATTCTTCAAAACAGGTTAATGGGTCTAAAATGGGAAGAAGTCGGGATCCACCCCATAAAAATACACGCACACATGGACACGCACGTAATAACAGCTATATTGCCTATAACTTTCAGGACAACTGACTCACGAACCGACGAATGAACGGCAACAAAGGCAAACCAGAAACTAGAGTCTTAAAGAAAGATGCCCTTTTTTTCCCTTTAGTGGTCGACAGACCTGCACCCCTGAAGACGAGAAGTCGGACAGGTCCACCCGAACCAGCTTGCCCGAGTAGGCCGGCTGCAGCCTGCCTGCCTTTTGACCACTCCCCCTCCCGGTCGAGTCGGATCCGAGAAACGACGAGGACCACGCGAAACCGTCTGCACTAAGGTTCGTGTTCACTCCGCCGACGGGGCCCTTCGGTCGGTACGGCAGTGACCACGTGTGGGGGAGGGGGGGGTCACGAGGGGGGAGCATTGCTTGCCTTGTTGTTCGGCGAGCACCGCGTGATACTCTGGACATACGGGTGGTTTATTCGGGGTCTCGAACATTTTTTTCCGCGTGTAGAGATGTGCAACCCGTTTCTTTTGTCGTTTACCTGGAACGACCTGCACGGGACGAGGTACCCGTACCCTTCCCACGCGAAGCCCCCGAAGAAACCCCCCACCTCGGGGTCCACCGTGTGGAGGTCGAGCACCTGTTTTCAGCATGAACAAGGGTAGCGTGAACGACGGGCACCAATACAACGGCATAAGAAAAGAAGGCCAAAGTGGTGTCCGTTGAGGCACACATAGTAATGCCTTCGATACGTTTGAGGCCAGGGGACAGCCCCACGCATGGGTGAAGAACAGACGCATCAGAACCTAGCGTGTCAACGTAGTAGTGACACTTGTACTTCCCGACCACCGACGAACGAGATAATCAAGGAGGAAGAACCTGGTGAACGAATTCTGAAGGTAATCGAATCGCACTCCCAACGACAAAGAGCGCGCAAGAGAACCAAGTCAAGCACCACTCACCAACGAACATCTCACTACCTTTCGCGAATATCAAGAACAAACATACAAAAGGGGTTTCCTAGGGCAACACGATTGTTCGTGTATGTGTTTGTTGTTTCCTGTAGAGGGTCTTGCAGGTGCATCCATGCATGTTGCGGTATCGCTACCAGTAGTCAGAAGAACGAGCCAAGCGAAAACCGAAAGATCTACCTCGACGCTGTTGCTCGAGAAGTTGCTGGCATCAACCCGCACAAATTTCGCCCCCGCCCCCCGGCCGTTGTAAGAAGGGACGAAGTACGCCTTTGAAGCGTGCAGGAACCCTCCGCTGAACCCTCGCAGGTCAGGATCAACCTTTCAAGACGGCAGAACAGCGGTAGTCTTATTGTGCCCAATGTGCACATATGGCAAAAAAGGCAAAGTACAGACACCGCAAACCACAGGGTATCCTTCAAGGAGACGAGTAGTGTCGATTATCTTTAACCATGATCTCAACAAACGGGGTAAAACGGGAAAGAAGGGGCAGCCCTCGTGTTTCGTTTGGAAGTCCTCGGCCTCAGCTTAGTACGTTTTGGCAGCCTGCCCGGCATTGACGCGGTCATGCCTCGAATAAACCGAAGCAGTATCGCACGACGAAAGCAACCCGTAGAAATTGTATCCGTATTGCCAAGTTCTTGAGGGCCGTTCCACTTGATGGTGGACATTGGGGTTCCCAAGACCGGCATCACGAACATGAGCACGAGCGTGGATACGGGCGACGGGCGGTTTGGATGGGTATAACTTCGGCCATGGTTGGGGAGAAAAAATCACCGTAAGCACTCACGTCTTCCAGATCAACCACATTGTACGTGCAGGTGGCATTGGACTCTAGAACTCCTTCCGACGAGCCACAGAAACGCGTAGTGTTTGTCCCTCCGAAGCCGTCGAGGCGAATCTGATCGGTGAATGCAGCCGAGGGTGATCAGTAGGTAGGGTGTGTTTAGTTCGTTTTCGCACGACGGGGTATTGCCAGCAGGAGATCGATGCTTTACTTGCTAACAGCATGTTTTCTTTCCGGCGGGGGACCTCTCTTGGTACCCTGCCCCTTGCTATTCATGGCCGTACAACCCCGTGGTCTCCTTCCTTTATCAGTAGCTCCGCCACTGTTCTCGTCGCCGACGACTTGGTTCTGAACAGGTGCATGCGAAAACCCGAGAACATCACAACCGCCCTACGCCGGTGTAATGCGCGAGAGGCCGAGGCCGATCAACTCAAGAGGACAAAGGTCCCCCGGGGCAACCTCAAGCCTCCCGCGCGGCACGCTCTCTTCACGAAGGCTAAGCCTGCTGCATATACCTGTACAGCCTTGCCGTGGAAATCTTCTCCGTCGAAGAGGGGGCTCAGAAACCCAAACATTTCTCCGTCCACGTCTCCGCTGAAGCCCCCCCAGTAACCGGCCAGCCCGCTATCCCCCTCGGCCGTAAGGTCGCTGCTTATCACCTATATGCATCCGTGGAGAGGAGACAAACGAACCAGAGGGACGAAGAACGACCAGGTTGTATTCTTGCAAGGTCTTGGCAAGGCCACGGTTGTAAGTGTGGGGGAGGGGAGATTAACAAGACGTCGCTGGTGAGATGGAGGATTCAAGGTGGGACCTCTTCTCGGTGAAAAAATAGGACAAAGAATGCAGATATATCGCAGCCACACGAAAAGGTGGATTGCGCATAGTTCTCACAAACAAAAGCGACCATACGAACAGGTCGTAGTGGGTGGTTCTACGGCACAACAGACGCGTGGGAGGGGTGGTGCGCAAAACATGCATGGCAGCACGCGAGTCGTTTGGGAAAAATATGAAGTGCGTGGTAATTCCCTGCACTTAGCACGAGACCTGAATCGCCTCGGCTCCACGCATACATGCGAATGACAGCATCGATTGTATATGAATCAATCTCCACCTACTGTGGCGCCACCTTCTACCTGTCCGGTGTAAGGCCCAACTCCGCCATCAGAGTAAAAGTCGGCGAAGTCCGTCACCACCCCGTGGAGACGAACGCTTCCCAGTCTGTCGGTCTGGAGCTCAACTTCCACCACGTTCCCGGAGTAACCGGAGCTCGTGAAATGCGGTACGAAGTAGGCGTGCCCGCACTTGCCTGGGATCGCGCGAGAAAATTATTCTTAGTCCCTTTTCGGGCGGCGGCGGCGGTGGATCGCACAGAGGTGTAGGTGGGAAGGGCCAATTCGCTCCAGCAGTAGGGTACCCCGACCGTCCTTAGTGGCGGAGGAGTGCAGGTGTGGTGCTCGGTCGATTTTGGAGAGGGTGCATTCTCGAAGGCGCATCTCCCCTCTGCTACGCTTCGCCAACCGTTTGCCCCAAAGCACACCCCTTTCGCCTTCACGATCTGAACAAGCTACTTTCTGTAGTCTGGCGTGCTAGACTGCTCATGTAATAGCAAAGGTGGGCCAATCGACGTTAGTTAACGGAACCTTCTGTTCAAGTGGGAGGTTGATTGCCGTGTCTGCGAGACTCTTCTAGACACACGTGACTCAAACAAGTCTGTTTCGTCAGCAATATGTATGCTGTGTGGTTCGCTCTACCGCCCAGGCACGCCGACCACCATCTTATCCCCGGCTGCGTCGTTGACACGAAAGCGTTCTGCCTACCTGCGACGTACACGACGAAGCTCGCTTCCACTTCTGCCGACGAACGAGCATCGAAATCTTCTCCCTGAAAGGCCGCTATGGCTCGGATCGTAACTGATTCTTCCAGAACGATGAGCTCGCTGGAAGTCACAAACGTTGAGGTCCCGTCGGGCACCGTTCCATCGGTTGTGTAGTACACAACGGCGCTGTCATCGGACACCAAGGACACCGCAATCGGTTCGTGGTAAGTGCCGCCGTCGGGGAAAAACGTCGGATCTTCGGCTTGTTCGGTGCCTGCGAGAGCACGTCTCGATATCACAGTAGTCGTGACCTAGGAGAAAAACACGATAATGAGGGTGCAGAGGAGGCTCAATGTGTGTGCTCATGTGTCTAGGTAGGCTGTACCATCGCTCCTTCTCCTACAAAACGCTTTTTTTCCGGGGGAAACCAGAAGCGCTCTCGTGGAACAGGTAAGGGGCTTTCCCAATGGTTTCGAATAAGGTGGGGATTAATCGACATGCAAATACCTAGTGGTACATTTCGGGCCACGAATAGAATGCCCAAACTCTGTTCGTCCAACCATTTTTTCAGTCACCTCGTCTCCTTCCACTGATGATACCGTTGGGTTCGTGGCAGGTACAGAGTCCTCTTGTTCGACCTGACTCGCAACGTCTTTCCTTGTTCCTGACAACGAATCCTTGAACGCCTGCAAAAAGGGTTGAAGAGACTCGTCTCCAGCGACATCTTCGTGGGAGAACCCAACTTGTCGTTTTCGTTTGTTGCTCCTTCGTTCAGCCCACCGTCCAGTGGAACCTGTTCGTGGTAACTCGTCGTTGTCGGGCGAGGGGATACCCGAAAGATCGTCCAGCGCAAGGCACGATGCTGACTCCTCGCGGCACAGATTCCCCGCTTGGAGTTCTCTACCCGGCTCGTCCGCGACGCTGGATAGTGCAGCGGCTAAGCAAACCAACCCTCCGATGCAGAATCGCCTCGTGAGCATTGCCTTGTGAGATGCTGCTCGTCGCGCTTAGCGGGGGGCACGGGAGGAAATCTCTCTTGCGGGGAAACAAGTCAAACGCGGTTCGTCAACGGCCAAGCCTCGTATTTGCCTCCAACAAACAGTGAGGGTTTAGCTTCTAGCCGTGATATGCAGCATATCATCTATCCACGCTGGGGCAAGGCACATTGTTATGCATGCCCTCAGGACACCATATTTGTTACGATATGTTGTACCAACAAACCAATGCACGCTCGCGAGCCCAGCTGCATCTTGCTTTTTTTTTCTTTCGGTTTGGGCGTCGATTCGGGATGCGGTGCAACTTGGAGAACCTGCATCATGAATCAATTATCCGCTCTCATTTGCTCTCTGTCTCCACGAAAGCGCCCATCGCTGACTGGGGCACCGGGACACTGGGGGGCTCCTCTCCAAGGCTCACTCAAACATGCGTGTCGTGTCTTCTCTTTCTTGCTTCGCTGCTGCGAGCCCTCTCTTGCGTTCACAGCTCCCCTTCGCGACAACGGCAACATCAAGCAATGACGTACAGCAGCTCCGCAACACACATCTTGGTCGCCCATCCATGCATGTCCAGCGTCCAAAGCAGCAGAGCCATCCCGGGCAGCACAACAACTGGCTCAGGCTGGGTAGTGGCTGCAACAAGTACAACCCCGCTCTTGTGACAAGAGGCGGTGCTGATGTATCCAAGACCCAGCCTGAAAGGAGTCCGTATGACCAGCTGAAGGCTTTCCTCAACAAACGGTTCTTTCTGCTAGGGGCGGCGGCGATGGTTGCCGCGGCGAGGGTTGTACCTTCTCCCGGGACCACGGGAGGCTTGTTGTCGCTTTCGGTGTCTAAAGCTGGTGAGGGAGGGTTGGTCAGTCTGGGTAGGGCCGAACTCTTCAGTCGCTATTGAGAGCGAATGACAACGAGTACGTAATCGTTGCCACGAGGACCAACGCAGGTACGATACCGTGTGTTGTGCAATAGACGGAGTCGCCAGAGGGAACCATGTCTGCGCGGAGCGAAACTGTGATTAACGTCGACAAAGAAACTCCAATCGACCTCTACCTTTGATTGCGCGACGGAGAACTCGAAATGACAACGTGTAAAAATATAATTCGACGTCGTAGCGTAGTGAAACCTGACCTCGCATTCCTACGTGACATGACTGCTATTCTATTGCTCCGCTGCGCCCTGCACCCTCAAAACTTGCAGGAGTGTCGTTGGTCTTCTTCTTGGTTGGTCTCGCCATCAAGCTGGGCGAGCTTGCGGGAGCCGCCCTAAACTTCAGGCTGAACTTGCTGACCCAGGCCTTCTCGTTGGGTGTGCTCCCCGCGGTGGGCGTAGGGCTCTCGCGTGTCCTCGCCGCAGGCGGGGTGCATCCAGCGCTCGCAGATGGCGTGCTGATTTTGATGTGCCTTCCCACGACTGTCAACATGTGCGTCATTTTGACGCAGAGCGCTGAAGGTGCGTGTGTATGTGTGAATCAGCTGCAAGAACGCGGTCGTTGAGTACGTCAGACATGCCGCATCGTGTCCGCTTTCGTATCAATCCTGTGCTCCGTGCCGTTGGGCGTGAGTCCTCCTCGCCTGTTGACTCTGGCCGAGGTAGAGCGAAAACCTTTGAAGGTGCACCTTTAGGCCTAGGAGGCAGCCTCCGTGTTGGGCAGAGAAAGCCTCCGTATCACACAGGGTTCCACCGCAATAGAATGATTTGGAATTCGAGTCGGTTGCCGGGCTTGCAGCTGCGTGATACGTTTCGGCGTTGTTCTGCAAATGGACCCGAATCCCGTGCAGGCAACACAGCGGCAGCGGCCTTCAACGCGGTGCTCGGCAACTTGTTGGGGGTCGTAGTCACCCCTGCTCTCTTGCTTTTGCTCCTTGGTCGTCGCTTGGACATGGCTCCATCCCTGTTGGCTACGTTCAAAAAGCTAGGAATAAAGGTGCGCGCCAGTCATGTTGGGGATGCGGTGTAGCGCTGCTGTCAGTATTCTTCAGCCGGGTATCCGTCGCCGCATATCTACACCAAGGTTGCAACGAATGTACACAGCCGATCTGTGTTGGTAGTCCGAAATTTACAGCACTGTCCGCTAGAAACGACAGTCAGCCCCCCCCCCCCCGCATCCTTCACGCTTTACGTTCATGACAACACACCCCGATCGACTCGTGGAAAAGGTGGTGCTACCGCTGGCGCTTGGCCAGCTCGCTCGTTTCACGCCCTTGCGGAAGCTGCACGAGCGCAAGCCCAAGGCTATATCACGCTTTTCCGAGTGCGTCCTCCTGAGCATCATCTACACCACGTTCTGCGACACTTTCACAAACAGCGCGGGTGAGTGGCGACGCATGCGGCTGTTTTTGTTGATGGCCAGCCGTCTGGCTCGTGTTGCTAGTCGCGTCGTTTTGGGTCATGACTTTGGATGATCGTGTGATGCACACTTGATGGCATGTGTGTTGACACTCTCCGATTCCGACTCACCCCCGAGGGCACACACCTATCGACGACGGGAAATAAACAAAAATCACCCATTAGAACGATTGCATTCATAGCAAACCTCCTACAGCAGCCCAACGACTCGCGTCACAAAATACCTCAAGGTTCCTAACACACCATCGACATCATGTCCGCTCGCTCGCTTGTCTCTTCTTCACCTCCGCGATATCCGATGTTGTATGCAGGCGTTGCGGGAACCGCCGCTGGCGGTGGAGGGGGCGGGGTTCTGGTACTGATGGCGGTGTTACCCATCGTTCACCTGTTGAGCCTCGCGGCTTTGGACGCACTCTCGCGTGTACCGTTTCTGAAGGTGCGTGCTGTGATCTTTCTTGCCCCGTGCAAGGCTTTTGCGGCATGATGCCCGCTGCCTGACATTAGTCGCGCTCGTCAGGCTTGGCGGAAGTATCGGACATACCGACTACTGTCGAGGTGCCCTCTTGCACCGCAGGAGTTTCTGCAGGCAACGATGGTGTGCCGAGCGTGGTACATTCGTTGAGCCATGGCTCGATTACGCTCTTGCTCGGTTTGAATCTTGCGATGCATCGTTGCACGTGCTTTCCGACCCCGGTTCTATCGCAGATTGACGAAAGAGATCGCATTGCGGTAATGTTCTGCGGCACGCACAAGACTCTCGCATTCGGCATTCCGTTGATAAAGGTACGAACAGCACCTAGGTGGGGTGCAGCTGTCTACAACAATGGTTTGGTGGTACTGGTGCGCTATAAATATTTAATGCGTTCAGTCCCCATCCATACAACATGCTTAGGGGTTTTCTTGGGCTTTCCTGATCATGATGACGTTTGATACTGGCCGAAGCATGTTCAATCCGTGCTCCAACCTTCACCGAAGTAGAAGTCTACACATTAAAAACCGTTCCGATTTCTCTATCCGGTACCTTCATCTGTCCGTACAAATCTAGCACTTGACGGGGGCGATTCCCGTGGTCACAGGCTATCTTACCCTTGACAGGTGTACTAAAATGCAATGGACTAAAATGTAATGGACCCGAAGGGTCCGCAAGCCACTAGAAATCAACGATAGAAAGTC